TTCGGGCTCCTTGTGTAGGCTCCATGGATACAATATTGACCATTTTTGCTTTCTCTGTCAAAATGAGAAAACTAGTGATAACCGGAAGTAAGGTTAGATTTTGTCAGTCAAAGGGATGATGGTCGTTCAAAATTATGTGTCCGTCATTGTATCTACGTACCTAACTAATCCGTTAAATTAATAACGTTTTTAATTGAAAATGACCCATTTTAGTGTCTGTGCACTTACAATAAAACACAGTTACTAAATTCTTTTTATATAAAGAGCGAGATGCTGTGTATTCACACAAGGAATTTTTATACCTAAGGCCTTTTTCATCTAACGGAATTTAAAATTTACTTATAGAGACGTGCCTTCGTTAGAGAAAAGAGAGGAATTTATAGGTATACCTATATTTCCCATAATATTTTATATCTATAGATTATATTATAAAGGTACCTTTATTATATTATACACACCTATTGCAAATATCACCATACCTTAATTATTATACACTACGTGTTTTAATATTACTTACCTTTATAATCGAGGATATTATACCCATGAAATTAACACAAACATTATTAACAGATTAATACCTATGACATTTAATCTTAGAAAAAAAGCATTTAACCAAACCTAAAATACCAATTCGTAATACAGTAGGTATTAACATAAATGATAACATTGGTAACTTTAGAAAAAAGAAGACTAAATAATGGAGCAGTAACTCCCGCTTGCCAATTTAAATGCGTTAACTGTTAAAAAAATATTTAGTGTTTTTTTATGATTAAAAGAATAAAATAAAGCAGGGACCCGGACCGGACAGTTTTTGGACATAAAACCGTACTGTAACAGGTATTTATTTTTGGACCGGAACCGGAACCAAACCCATATTATTTTTAAATGTACATCTAGAGACCGAACCCAAACCCTTTTTTTCTTAATTTCTTTTTCTTATTTTATTTGTTAAAAAAATCTATAAAATTAGTTTTTGCAGCAAAATATTTGTGCACGGGCTATAAATATATAAATTATACACTCTAGCACGTATTGTAAGGGGTTATGTTAATAATAATATAATAAAAGAGCACTTAAAAAAATTGTAAATGTTTTTATAAATAATTATTGTAAATGCAAATTAAAATAACTTTAAGGAAAAAGAAAAATGTCCTATGTATACAACTCTTCAAAACTTTTCATAAAACATTTTGGTTTTTTTGATGGTCCCGTCAGTAATCATGGAATCATGTAATATATGTATGTATATGTATCTGTCTATTTAACGCTAATTTTATTTATTTTGTGAAAATACTTTAATACCTAGGCAAATGGGGTGTATTATCTTTGCCTATAGGTAGGTATTAAAGTATTTCTATCTATTTATCAAATTAATCTTTTGTCTAAAAATATTGCCCACTTTTTTCCAGAATTTTATGGAAAGCTTTGGTGAATGTTGGTAAAAAGTCCACGATTTAAAATAAACACTTGCTAGTTACCACTGGTAAGTTACCAGCAAGTCACTCCTCGTTTATTTAGTCTTCTTGCACAAAACATTTATATGACAGTTGCATGTTTTTAAACTGTTTAATTTAATAATGTTTTGAAAGTGTGTGATTAGTGTAATAAGAATGAAAAAGAACAACCACATGGGTAAGATTTGCTTAAATATATTCTGTGGTTGGTATTTATATAAACATTTCTTGGAAAATAGATTAAAAATAAACACCTAACCTCAAAAAATGCTTCTTAGAAATTCCAGACAGCATAAAATATTAATATTAAGATTTCCTGGCATGGACATGCCTTTTTAATAAAAATAAATGAAGTAGGTAGGTATTTCGGTAAGCAATATACAGGGTTTTAAATAAGTAGGTATCGTAAGAGATTGATTTAAGCCCGTATTTAAATACCTAGCATTATCAGGGTCAAAACTATCGCAATATTTATTGTTAGATATTACTTCCTCATCGCCTTATTCGTAAAGAAACAATGGCCTTATCTCGAGATAGATACAGGGTGTCAAATACAGTACTTAAAAAAATACAGGGTGGTCCAGATTATATCATCAGAATCCAAGACAGGGCTGAAATTAACAACAGTGGCTTTTGGGCATTTTAGTCACGGGCTGAAGTTAGCTTTATTATAAATTGCGAAAAAGTGAGGTTAATTTCGTCAAATGTCAAAAATTTATGAATTAAAATTGGCTTTAAATTCTTATTTTTGTTCGTCGTAGATAAAGTATAGTATGAAACTCGTTCTATAAACTTCTCTAGAGACTCGTTTTTATTAAACAAGCTTCGCTCGTGCCTAATAAAACTCGTAACTAAAATGGCGTTTATAAAACTTGATACATAATATACTATTGATACATAATATACTATATTTATAATGAATTATACTTATTAATTTTAAGTACTTTTCAGAAACTAAGCAAAATATATAAGAACGTTTTTCCTTCTAAAGTTACGGTTCTTATTTATACACCCTATATAAATTTTGTATCAAGACATTCCACCGATTCACCGAGTGTTTTAATAAAGTCCGTGTTTGCTTTCGGTGAGAGGCTTGGCTGGAACACCTCCGTTCACGACCAAGTCTATTATCTTCTTGTGTGGGCACGCTGATGTAGAGCCGGAGCTAAGCTCCCATGTGGGTATGAAAATGAAATCCGTCAAGAATATCCGAGAACCTACATATCAGATAAAAAGAATTTTAAATCGAAGTTTAATATTATATCTTATATTATAAAACGTATACTACTATAGTATTGCATTCCTAAAGTTAAGTGTAAATAATTTAATGAACTTTTTTAAGGGACCGCCCAGAGCGTCAAAATAAAAAGGGACTGAAGATCAAATATTAAAAATAGGTACCAAATTAATTATATATATGTTAATATCTACATACTATTTACTATATTTCTTGAAACATGATAAATGCAAATGCAATATAATTTTGCTTAAAACTATTTCTATTCACGTTCGGTAGTCCAAACTAACTGGGAGTTTTTTATTTTTATTTCATTTAATTTTAAAATTTGTTGACAGCCATAAAAACTGCCAGAATATTTTCCAATTGCGATTCCGAAAATGGAACTTAAATTTAAGCGGCCTAGTATTTTAAAAGAAAAATAACTCACCAAGCTTTCCATAAAATTCTGGAAAAGAAAAGATTAAGTTGACAGACGACCTAACATCAAATTCAAAGACCAAAAATACATATAGGTAACCAGAATCTAGTTAGGGATACCGAACGTGTATTGATTTTAAATGATAGTTCCAAGAAACGGTGTTTTTTAAATATTTTTAAAATGTATAAATATTGCGTTATGGCTTTTGTAATATCACCTTTTCTGCTACTTTTTAGTAGACATTGCTTAATAAGTAACACACGACAGTTTTTCTCGATTTTCTACCAAATTTATGTCTGGCGCTTACAGCGTTGTCTTTTAATAACAAACTTCGTTATGAGAATAATTTTTCTACTCCCCCTTTATCGTACATGTTTCCATGACAATAAGTGACCTTTTAAATACACATTGACAAGTTGTAGCTTTATGGCGCTTTAGTCACGGGCTGAAGTTAGTTTTAAGTTAGTTGACAGTTGTCAAATGTCATACAATCGTTAAAATAAAGTGCCTTTCTTGTAAAATAATACAAAATGTGAAAATTACTTTATTATCTCAATACAAAAATAAAAAAGTATTAAATAGTTTCTCAACGCCAATATTTGAAAAGTTTAATGAACATTGTACTGACCTTTTAATTTCGCCGGTTGTAAACTATAACTTAAATTCGGACACGGACTCCACTGTTAAGTCCTCATAAAACATTTTCTTTACTTTCACTGTAAAAATGTCAATTTTCAAGAAATACATTTCGATTTATAACCTTTATAATCTGTTTATAAAATATAAAAATGTGACATTTGACGGTGACACACAGATTTCCCTATTGCTTCATAGATGGCGCTCTATACAAATTTTTTATTTAAATCATTTTAAGATAATAATAAGTATTTGTCGTAGAAAAAGTATAGTATGCACCTCGTTTATAAACTTTTCTATACACTCATTAATTTAAGCACTCGCTCGCAAGCTCGCTCGTACCTAAATTAAACTCGTGTATAAAATGGTGTTTATCAAACTTGATACACAATATACTATTATTTTTCTTATTAAATCAAATTTTTATGAAATACATTTTGATAGGTATATTTAAAAAATATTTAAAGTTTATTTTTTTTTACTTAATGCTCTACAAAATGGTATATGAATGTAATATACTTCAATGTAATATTTATCTTCATAGTAAGTAAATAACACAACGCAGGTATTATTTAATGAAGCAATAGGTTTTAGTGGCGCTAACCAACATTTTCCCATGGCGCCATGCTTGCTTGCTAAAACCGGCCCTGTGTTTTATATCGAGTGTAAAACTTAACGCATACAAAAAAGTCGTTATAACAAGAGTTTAGAACTTTAAATAAAACTGCCAAGCAAACATATTACTATTTGAAATGTTTATTGTTTAATTCTGGCTAAAAACAAAACCGGCACTATGCTGGATGCATTTAGAGGCATAAACCATAAACAAATTGAGTAACGGTTGCGCATGTTATCGTTTTTTCTGCTTTTATGATCTAAATGTACCTTCACAATAAATCTTTATAAAGTTTATTTGTGTAGATATATATTTACTGAGTTTAAGTAATTTAAATATTGTAGGATTTAATTTAAAGTTAATTGATTTTCTATGTAGATACGACATTGAAAAACATTCAAAGTACACGTGAATGCACTTTCAACCTCTGACGCATATTTGCAAATGAGTGTAATTTTCTTTCATTCATAAGAAAAGTGTATGCTCTTTGAGGTGATTTTTCCATTTAATTTTAGATTGTCGTGAAAAGTAAATGCAAAAATGGTGCGTGAAAATCACACACTGCGTTCGTGTTGGGCTTCGAAAATAATTTCAAAATAAATAATATGAAACAGACGTCTGATAGTAGTCTAAAGGCCGGCTGCTTGCTATTCGCGAAGCCTGGGCGTGCGCTTTGGCGGCCCTGACTGCGCCGCACTACGCGACTGGGCCCCGACTCGAAGTAAGTGTGTTTCTCTCTTACGGTGTAGTTCGATTGCGGAGCACGTTTCGTTAAAAGTTTTTAAAAAATGTTAAAATTACTACTGATCAACTAAAGGAAAAAAATTACAACAAACTCAATGATTAAGGTCAGTATTGTTGCGTTGTTTTTTGTATTTTTGTGCGAATTTTTTAGATGGTTTTTAAATAAATCAGGTTATTTGTAGCCATATGCCGTAGCCTTGCAATGTTCTACTTATTTTCGTGGCGATTTCTATTTTAACCTACTCGGCGCGCTGTACTGTGGGAACTTAAAATGCGGTTTAGTTAATTAGCAGGCCCTTTTCGCAAATAAATTACGTTGAGAAGAACCGGCGCATTTCCAAGAATCCGTCTGGGATAAAACTACTAAGTCTATCTCTGTCCTTAGTTTATGTTTTTTTTGTGTTTCCGGCGCTCGGTCATTGATGTGATCTCTGTGGAATGTGGTAGGGCTGGATACTTTTAAATTACGAGACGCAGAGAGGTAGGGAAAGGAATGCTGGAAATCGTGAATGGTTTCTGAATTCCAACAACGTTGCCGTTCGTCCTTTAGTTCTCTCTTTGGTACTCACGTACCCATTTACGAAGCGCAAGACGGCCGAGACGGTACAGTGTTTTATGGTACGGCTCTTGTTCGTTCCTCCGGTCGGTCGATTGCTTGCTTATTCGAAAGCCAAGGGAATACTGTTACTTGAACTGATCCAAATTATTTTTACATTCGGACGGCTCGCCAACTCGATAATGTCGCGCACCAATTAATAGTCAACGGCATTTAGAATGTAATTGCAATTTTCCAAAATAATTAAAAACATGCTAATAAATTTATTTTTTGTTACAGAATCTTCTGCCACTCACCACTCCCAACTCGAAAGAAGTATAATGTGTGATACAGCTGTACCCCCTCAGTACCCAATCTGTGAAACTGATAATGGTGGACACAAAAAGTGCATCATATTGCCAAAAAAGAATTCATTAACGACGCTAGAAGGGCGTTTGGAAACCTTCAAAACTTGGCCGAATAAAGAAGTGGACCCTAGAAAACTAGCTGAAGCAGGTTTTTATTATACTAAACATGAGGACATCGTCCGCTGTCCCTTCTGCTTCGTAGAGGGCTATAGGTGGCAAGCTGAAGATAATCCAATGGATGATCATCTAAGGTGGACACGGGAACAGAGAAGGCAATGTACTTTTGTTAGTGATAGGAGAAGTGAGCATGATGATGCAGTGAGTGAGGATAGCACAAACGGAAGAGACACTTGCGGAAAATACGGTGTGGAAATTTTACCTTGTTCTATTCCAGAGGACAAAAACGTGAATTTAGAAAAGTTAGGTGTTACTAAAGTGAAAGGACCGGCTCATCCCGAATACGTTTTGCAACAATCCCGATTGGAATCGTTTAAACAGTGGCCGAAATCTCTCAGACAAAAACCGGAGGATTTGGCCAGTGCCGGATTCTTTTACCTCGGTTGCGGCGACCAGGTTTTGTGCTTCCATTGCGGTGGCGGTTTGAAGGATTGGGAAGAAAACGACGAACCATGGGAGCAACATGGCATGTGGTTCCCCAAGTGTAGTTATTTGTTATTAAAAAAGGGTGTAGAATACGTGAATAAACTAAAAGAAGAAACTAGAGAGACTGAGGATATAACTTTGCCTAGTACGAGTGGTAGTTTAAACACAGTAGAAACCAAAGTTCCACAATCTACTACAGTTAGTGAAATCAAGTCTGATTCTGATAAAAATAACGAAAAGAGCAGTGAACAGGACCATCACTTGTGCAAGATTTGCTTTAAAAACGAATTGGGTGTCGTGTTCCTGCCTTGCGGTCATATAGTTGCCTGTGTAGATTGTGCTTCAGCCCTCAGCACTTGTGCTGTCTGCCGAAAGCCTCTGGAAGCAACTGTCAGAGCGTTCCTATCGTAAACTGTACTGCTAGTCAAATTTAAAATTGTTTTATTACTAAATGAGAAAACAAATATATATTTTTATACAAAAAAGCATTTTTTACTACTGACTTTATAAGTACAAATCTAGGTACATTTATTTATCTGCTAATACGCTTTTTAGTTTTTAATCTTTTTGAAGCGCTTTTAATTTGACTGCAAGTTTAAACTTAAACAGTGTGAATTTTGTTAGGGAACCCCTGACATGTATGTTAGTTATCCCAACATGTATGTGTGTGTGTATATAAATAAATATATTAATTATTTAAATTTACTGGTTTTTATTACCCAGTTCTTTTTTTAACTTAAAAAGCAAGTCATTACAATTTTAGTTCTACTGTAAAGTGAGTCCAGTTATTCTTATTTTATTTAAATCAAAGCAAAACTATTTTTTGAATAGATCAAAAGCATAAAATGAAATTTGCCATGTTTTCTAAATTTAATCATAAAAATTACATAGAGCGCCATCTATGTTTCCTTAATGTAACATGATGTTTTAAAGAAGAATGTTTGCAGAAATATATTTTTCTTTCTAACAAATTAAATTATTTAAAAAAAACTTTTAAAATAAATAAAACAAGTACCTAATAAAATGCAAAACAGAATAAGCATGTGCAAAGGCATTATTCATAAAATCAATTTTGAAAAAAAAAATTCCTATAGGTAAGTACCTACCTACCTGGAAATATTTCCAATGTTTATTAACCTTAATTAACATTTAACTGAATTTACTGGTTTTTATTACCCAGTTCTTTTTTTAACTTAAAAAGCAAGTCATTACAATTTTAGTTCTACTGTAAAGTGAGTCCAGTTATTCTTATTTTATTTAAATCAAAGCAAAACTATTTTTTTAATAGATCAAAAGCATAAAATGAAATTTGCCATGTTTTCTAAATTTAATCATAAAAATTACATACAGCGCCATCTATGTTTCCTTAATGTAACATGATGTTTTAAAGAAGAATGTTTGCAGAAATATATTTTTCTTTCTAACAAATTAAATTATTTAAAAAAAACTTTTAAAATAAATAAAACAAGTACCTAATAAAATGCAAAACAGAATAAGCATGTGCAAAGGCATTATTCATAAAATCAATTTTGAAAAAAAATATTCCTATACCTACCTACCTGGGAATATTTCCAATGTTTATTAACCTTAATTAGCATTTAACTGAAGCCAACAATAATAGTAAATAATGTCATTAGGGGAAAATCATAGGTATACCTACCTACTATTTTTTATCTTCTAACAAATCAAAAAAATTATAATAAAATTAGAATAAAAATAAAAGCCATAAAAGTATGAAAATAAATTTAACTGAATACTGAAAAAAAAATATCGTAAGACTTTAATGGTTGTTTACAAACAAATCAATTAATATAAAAACAAAATTATAAAAAAAATCTGAAAATTGCCTTTGATAAATTATTAATTATTAATTAAATGGTCTATTAAATATTTTATATAATTTTAAAATATAATAATTACTGGCATTTAATAATGCTGGTGGTATTTTAAAAATGCACATTTCTGAAAATATTTTTCAAATAACACTTCCATTGGAAGAGAAAACAATGTTGTTTTTCTTCCAAGGTGACAAATAATACACATAGCGCCATCTACTAAATTTTTATTAAACAATGTCAAATTTAAAGTAGAAATCACGGGACCAAGCCCAGCCAACTATAAAAAATAGCTTTACTTAGAAATCGCCATCTAGTGGTCTTATGTCAAACTATAATAATAATCTTCAGATTCCTGTTTTCTAACATTGTTTTATAAAATAAATCAGTTATCTTTTCGTTTTAATATAGGCAATCCAAATACACATGTGCATTTTGGTGCATAAAATCCAAACATATGGTCCACCGATGAGGCGCATGCTCTTTACGAAGTGTCATTCTAAAGTTTATTGTAGATGTTTTTAAATGTCTTCAGCTTATGTTCTGTGGTCTTCGTGTATTGCCTTTCTTATCGTACAAGGCAGGTAATTTAAGTGCAAACAATAATGAACTAAGAAAGAAAGCAATTTGTGTGGTGTGGTGAATATGTTGAAATTGAGTTCAGATCAAAATTGCGGACTTTTCATTGAAGAGCGGCGAGGTAATTTTTTATTGATTGTATTTTGACAACCTGTCTAAAATTTTCAAATTTTATTGAAAAAAATGCCAATATTAATGATTTGTTTTTATTTTAAGAAATCGAATGTTCTTGATTACGACGTGCAATTATAATGAGTAAAATATTTACATTTTAACATTAAAAGTAAACATACTAACGTATGTAGGTACAGGCCCTGTACTACAGGGTGATCCCCTATAATGTCGCCCCCCTTTAACTTTTTTATTTTAAGTGTCCGAAAAAATTTTAAAGTGTGGTTAGGTATGTAGGTACTAAAAAATACTTTGTTTCTACGTATAAAGAAAATTGGAAAATTGATCAGTATACAGGGAAAAACAAAAAGTTTATTTTTTTTCAATGGATCACCCTATATATGTATTTATTTTTCGATTCCTTGTAAAATTCTGAGCATATTTCATATAACATACCATATACCTAAATTCAACCGTTTCTGAAATATTTAAATTATTTTTAAGATAAAAAGTTTGAAATAGTTTGTCTTTCTCTGTCTGAGTAGGCCATTTTTACTTATTTAACAAGACATATTGACATAATGTCACTAAGGTAGTGGTACCAGTAGCTGATAACGTAAGCAAATGAGGTAACAAGAAACATTCTAAAAACCACATTTGATTTCAAATGTGTGAATACTTATTTTCAGCATAACTACCAATGTTTTTACCTTATGAAAAATACAGAAATAAAGTTAAATATAACTGACAAAATGTTAAAAAATATATAAAAACGAAATTTGTGCATTTGTACCAGTAAATGATACGCCTAAAAGTGCTGTGTCCCACTGGTTGACACTCCCTTGTCCCAGTGCATGACAACTTGAAACTTATCTGGTGATTTTTTTATTCTTGCAATAATATTTAATTTACTTTTAAGTTAAAACTAAATAATTACAGGTAAATATTGACTTAAGTACCTGAGTACATATTTTGTAAAATTAAAAAAAAAAACAAATCTATCAAATTTAAGAAAAACAAATCTATCAATCTTCAAAAACATCTTATTCAACATAATATTTAAAAAAATCTTATTCAACATAATCTTTAAAAAACATTTTATTCAACATAATGTTTCATTTCTTCAACTGCGTAAATTCCTCTATTATTAAGTTTTGTCGGTTCTGAAATTTCTCTCATCACATCCATTTTTTCATACCACAGTACATCTGGTGTATTTGGCCACTTCCATCCATTCCTACTACTTTTTAACATAACATTCACTCTCACTTGTTTGTCCGTCACATTTAGTATTTTTCCTGGAAAATAGTCTTCATCATATTTTACTATCACAAAAGAATCTTTTTTATAAGTGATATTTTCAAGAGTCTGGTTGGTAACATTTATTTTTGGTTCTGGTTTTTGTTCATTGGTAGTTGTTTTCTTTTTTTTTAATAACTTCTCCTTTGCTTTTTCTGCTCTCTTTCGTTTTCGTTCATTCAATTCAAAATCTTTTCTCTTTTTTTCTTCTTCTTTTTTTTGATAGTATTCCTTCCATTGGACCGAAGTCACTACAGTTGGAATTTTTTCCTTTGACCTTTTTGATTGTGAATTTTTTTTTGAAATTTCAGGCCAAAACAACGCTGATTTAAATGGTGTCGGAATATTTTCCGGAATACTTGTAACAGTTGTCGGTGATGTTTGTAGTCGGGTTGTGATGTCTTTTTCATTTTCTTCCATATCTCTCTCTTTCACTTCGTCTTCAAACGGGCAAATATTTTCTTTTTCGTCGTCAATTAAGATTTCGTCGCAGTTCATTATATCATCTTCATTTCCTTTAAACGTAACTTTTTCGAACACTAGATTTCCTGCTTCTTCAATCGAATCTTCAATACTTAAGTTTAACTGTTCAGTAGCTTTATTAACTTTTTCTTCATGGTACTCTTGATGTATAATAATATCACTAAGAATATTGATTTTTTTTTTAATTGACGTTTCTATATCTTGTACCTTGTTTTTTTCCTTTGTTTCCAAATAAGGCACGTTTTCCTCTTGAGACGTATTAATTAAGAGATCTATCCAGTCACCTTCTAAAATTATATCCCCGTCATTTATCACAGTTGTGTTTGCTTCCATAATAGAATTTTGCTCGGAATGCTCGAGATCGATATCGTCATCCGGTAACTTCTGATTCCAGCTTAATATTTCTTTGCTGGAATCTAAATCAGTCTTAAGTTTTTTCCAAAAATTGAATAATGATTTATCTTCTTCGGCTCCCTGCCACAGATCATTATTTGCACTTTGAAAAGATTCTGTTTTTGCTGCTCCAATTACGTTTTCCAAGTATGTTAGAAAGTCTGGGTTGGGTTTAGTAGAAGTAGTAGAGTTAGAGCTTGTAGTTGTACTCGTTTCCTTCTCGGTTTCCTTAATATTTGTTTTAAAATATTTGTCATATTTGATTGCATCTGCATTTAAAGGGTACAGACCACAGCTACGAAATCCATTCACAATGGTATCTTTTTTAATCAATTGCAGAGCATTATTCAAAATAGGACAAAAAAACTCCCTGGTAATTTTTTTGCCGTCATTAGCAATTTTCCAATTTCTGACTTCGACCTTCCAAATACTTTTGAGTGTGTGGAAAACAGCCACGTCCATGGGCTGTAGGATGTGGGTCGAATTTGGAAATAATGAGACCAATATAATACCATTTTGCGAACAGAATTTACTTAGAGCAAGAGTTAAGTGAGATCGGTGTCCATCCACATAAAGTACTATTGGCAGTTCTATTTTACTGTCTTTCACCCAAGGTAAAAACACATTAGTGATGAATTCATAGAATGTCTCACCTGTCATCCATCCACTTTCACTTCTGCCCACCCCCCATTTATCTGGAATTCGTTTAGTGACATTTGCGGGAACTCGTTCGTAGCAGAACATGACCATGGGTGGAGCTAATTCTCCAGCCGCGTTGGCAGTTATAAGAGTGGTCAGACATTCTTTTTCATCGTTACCAATAAAATTGTAAACTGTCTTGTCTCCTCTTTTCACGAGTACTTTTGATTCCTTCGGATTAAGAAAAAAAGCGCTTTCGTCAGCGTTAAAAATCCTTCTAGGATCCTCAATAACGTGCAGATAATCATTATCCGTCAAGTACATCTCTACTTCATGAAACCATCGTCTAATTTTGACTTCGTTGACACAAGCTCGACTTGATGTTAAATTTTGTGGAGTTCTCATGCTCAGTTCAGGATGTCGCTTAAGAAAGGCCTCATACCAATGTCGTCCTGGTCTGCCATGTTTGAAAGGTGTATCCCTCTTCAATGTCCTTATCAGGATTTGCACACTATCTAGAAGATGAGTCTTGGTAATTGGGAAACCTCTATTAGCTGATGTTTGAATCCAGTCAACCAAGCAATTTTCTTCATTTTCCGTTAAGTAGGCGGATGGTCCCATCTTTCTTCTTATAGGATTTGTTCCATTATTTTTATAAAATAACGTTGAATATGGGATACCATATTTTTCGCTGGCTTTGTGGATGGAAGTCCCTTGTTTTATTTCTTTTAAAGCTGATTCTATTGAGGCATCTGAATAAGATAGACCCTTATTCTTTGATCTTTTTTTTTTAATATTTGACCGCGAAGATTTCGACATTTTCCTGCTGACAAAAAATTAAGTTAGACGTGAAGCAACTCATGAGAACGGGTATCATAGGAGCTGTTCCCTAAATAGTTATTTGCTGTTGGAGCTAACTTGGAGAGTTGTCAGGCACTGGTACAGCGAGTTTTTGAGTGTCTGTCCCAGTAGGTGATAAATTATCATCTACTAGGACATGGCCCCAAATCAGTGTACCAGTAGCTGATATGAGGTTTTATTAGGTTAGAAATGTAAACACATGTAAATAAGCTATTTTAGATCACCAATAGAATACTAATATACTATTAAAACAAAAAGCACTGATTTACTTGTATTGTGATATTATTTTGAAGCCTGTAATTTCTTACCTTTGTCTTAACTACACGGGCTAGTGAAGGGTACAGAAACAACTAATATGGATGGCGCCAAAAGTTCCGCTTCATTGTTGATAATGTAGGGATCGCCAAAAAATCTAAACCATGGTCAGATATTTAAAAGAATAATGCCAGATGTCACCACAATATACATATTTGTTGTTAGATACTCATTTTTCTTATTTTGAGAGTTAATTGTGGCGACTTCTCAGGCACTGGGCCGTTATCACTGACTGGGACATCTACCTTATAACAATTTATTTTCAATAAAAATTTCTAACAGTTTAAAAAACATTTAATGATAACATTTCAAATGCGAATATTTCAGAAACAGTTGAGTTTAGGATATGGTTTGTTATATGAATTATGAAAAAAAGTATTTTTTAGTACCTACATAACCACACGTTTAAATTTTTTTGGACACTTAAAATAAAAAAGTTAAAGGGGGGCGACATTATAGGGGATCACCCTGTACATAGGTAAATGCAAAGGTGATCGACAGTTAATTTGAGTTTTTAGGTAGGCTATTTAAAAATAAAACATAATGCATCGACGTTGGTAAAATTTATTTTTTTTGCTAATGCTCAAATTTAAATCTACAGGGTGTCCCAAAAATGGCGCATGTGGGTAGTTTTTAAGTTATTACAAATGTTAAGTTTTTAAAACTTCGCAATATAAAAACGGTTGTTAACACTAGTGGCGGCTGGTGGATTTAATTAATATATAATATATATAGTATATATACCTATATCTCAATTATTAGATATGGGACCCACACCAAATTTTTATGAGTTTATAATGACATTAAATAAACAAGTTCTGCGAAAATTGATATAAAATAAATATAGTTAATATAAATTTAATTTGTGCAATTTATTATTTAACATAGTTTATCGGCAAATTTCAAATTTCATTTAAAAAATCCAAATTATTCAGACTTTATACCTACCATTTTAAATTTTTAATATTTCTTTTCAAAGAAATAATAAAAATTTAAAATGGTACCTATAGGTATATGTATATACAATCTGTATAATTTGGATTTTTTATATAAAATTTAAAAATTTTCGATAAACTATGGTAAATAATAAATTGCACAAATTAAATTTATATTATATACAGGGTGGTCCAGGATTAATCTGAAAAATTTTAATGATCGATAGAGCCTGAAAAAACAATAAAAACAAACCCAAAAACATTTTTTTTAAAATACACACTAACACACTAATAGCCTTTCAAAGGCAAAAAAACGTTTTTTTTTTAAATAACTTCTGCTCAAATTTTGTGTACCTAGGTAAAATTTCTTACAAAAGGCCCAGCGGCGGATATTTTGTGAGGGTTTCCCCTTTTTACCCCCATATTTCGACACCACTGGATTTTATTGGAAAATCATCAGATTTCTTATTCAGTTTAGAAGCAAAACTTGTGTGTTAAATTTTCATAAGATCAGTGGTTTCGGAGACTTTAACATTTCAAAAACACCGAGTACACGGAATTTTATTATATTTTATTTTAAATCGGTAACTTGGTAATAATTATGCCACATTATCAGTTTATAAAATATTATAAAAATAAACTAGCGTCCAGGAGTCATCGTGCAGTTGTTACTGATCCCGTCATATTTTTAGGTTGTTTTATTGTAACGTTGATTGAGGATTACAATCAACGTCTGTAATTAATAATTTAATTGTATTATAATACAAAATCAAACCAACCCAAAAACCACCCAATTGAAAGTGATTATTCCATAATTTCATTGGTAAATTTTTATTGGCCCAATACAATCGTTCAGAAAAAAAAATATTTTTTATTACTAAAATAATAACAAAAGTTCCGTGTACACAGTGTTTTTGAAATTTTAAACTGAAATATCTCCGTTGATCTGATAAAAAATAAACATAAAAGTTTTGCTTTTAGATTGAAAAAGGATAAAAATAAATCTGATGATTTTCTAATAAAATCCAGTGGCGTCGAAAATATGAGGGTAAAAAGGGGAAACCCCTCCCAAAATCTCCGCCACTGGGCCTTTTGTTCATTATATTATCGACGGAAGCTTAACCTACACAAAATTTGAGAAGAATCGGTTTAATGGTTTAAAAATTATTTTGTAGGACTATATTTCCGTTAGTATACATTTTTGAAAAATGTTTTTGGGTTTGTTTTTATTGTTTTTTCAGGCTCTATCGATCATTAAAATTTTTCAGATTAATCCTGGACCACCCTGTATATAAGAATTTTTTTTTCGCAAACTTTAATCTAAATTCTGCTTGCGCAGAACTTGTTTATTTAATTATAAACACATTTAAATTTGGTTTTGGTCCCATATCTAATAATTGAGATATCGTTATACCCAAAATCCACCAGCCGCCACTTAGCTTAACACAATTACGAAAAGTCAGCTGACTCAGCTGATCTGTTGATAGTGGGTAGATACCTATCAACCTCATGATCAGTTGCCTTTTCATACCTAGGTACAGGGGTGAGTCGCAAACAAATGGGTCACACTGTATATATAAATTTATATAGGTAGGTATGGGTTAATCATATAGATAAATTTATATATACAGTGTGACCCATTTCTTTGCGACTCACCCCTGTAAAATCTTTATTTATTGTGTGATTTTGATAAACTTTATTTTTGGAGCAAAAAACGCCATATTTGTACAAAACACAAGGCCCACTATGTCAGTTTTTAAGAGTAAATTTTTAAGAATATCAGCGATTTAAAAAAAATCTAAGCACGGCACTGGACTCACCACCCCTCAAAACGACCCTATACTTAATTTTATTGAAAAATTTTAATTAATTTTAAGTAGAAAAATGCACAACAATAACTACAAAAATTTATTATGTCAAGTTATTCATAAAAAAAACATTGAAATAAAGGTAAACTAATAGTAACATGGTACTATTACTATAAGTTTAATTTTATTTCAATGTTTTTTCATGGATAACTTGACAGAATAAATTTTTGTAGTTATTATTGTGCATTTTTATACTTAAAATTTTTCAGTAAAATTTAGTAAAGGGTCGTTTTAAGGGGTGGTGAATCCAGTGCCGTGCTTAGATTTTGTTTAAAA